TAAAGATCTCTTGGAAGATTATTTTATTCCTAACAGCGTTTTCCCTGCTCATGTTTTAGACGTCATTTTAGAATGCAACGAAGTTTGTTCGATAAAATCATGAGTGTTGTTTGTAACCATGATCCATATTTGGGCAAAAAGATGATGTTTTTCATGTTCTAGGTCTTCTTCCTAAGCAAAAAATTAAGGTTGCCTTGCGAATGCTTGCATATGGAGCATCTGCAGATCAAGTGGATGAGATCGCAAGGATGGGAAAAACAACAGTTCTTGAGTCTCTGATGCGGTTTTGCTCTGCAATTGAAGCCCTCTACACCAATGAGTACCTTCGAAAACCCACGCCAAGGGACATGCGAAGGCTTCTGAGGAAGGGTGAGATGCGAGGCTTCCCTGGCATGATTGGAAGCATCGACTGCATGCACTGGACATGGAAAAACTGTCCAAGTGCGTGGCAAGGAGCTTATGACGACAGAAAAGGAGCCAAAAACATCATTTTGGAAGCGGTGGCTTCTTTTGATACATGGATTTGGCATGCTTTTTTTGGTGTTCCAGGAGCTTAGAATGACCTAAATGTCCTTGTCCAATCTCCAGTGTTTGACGAACTGCTACAAGGAAATGGGCTGAGATGCACATATTGGGTTAATGGTAATAAATATTATGGACCATACTACCTTGCAGATGGTATTTACCCAAGGTGGTCAATATTTGTCAAAACAGTGCCACATCCACAGAGTGAAAAAGAAAAACACTTCGCAAAGTGTCAAGAAGGGTGTAGGAAGGATGTCGAGCGTTGTTTTGGTATCCTGCAAGCTCGTTGGGCGATTGTCAAGGCTGCAGCTATAATGTTTGATGTCGAGGCTCTTCGATCCATCATGATGACGTGTATTATTCTCCACAACATGATTGTTGAAGACGAGTATGATTATGATGCAGTCGATGAATACGAGATGAATCCGATGAACAACTCAAGAACACAAATCTACTATGCTCATGACCAGACCGAAGATCCCAAGCAACACGAGCCGTTAGAACGGGATGGACGTTAAAATGAATTGATCATTCAGCGGTACACTTCATTGCAAGAGCCATACTGGCACATAACCCGCCAAAATGACTTAATTGACCACTAGTGGGGATTGCACGAAGGCAAAGATAATTAAAGTAAGGCTTGTGGTTGAAGAATAAAGCGTATTGTTTTTCAAGTAATCTTATTTAGTGTGTTTTTTTTTTTTAAAAGTTTATATGGTGAGGTTATGTAATTTTATTTGGTGTTTTTTTTTAAATGTTTATTTGGTGAGTTTATGTAATCTTATTCAAATATTTAAATAAAGTACAAAAATTACATAAGAAATTAAATAAAGTTCTAAAAATAAATAAGAAATTAAATAAAGTTCTAAAAATGTTAAGAAATCACATAACAAATTAAATAAAGTAGTACAAATAAATACGAAATTATACAAAGTCTGTGGAGTTAGGATATGTGATGCTAGGATCTTGGTTGCTAGGATTTCTGTAGCTGGAACCCCCTTGACTTGTTTCGGCATCTCTTGCACGCCTCTTTCGCACGACATCTCTTTTTTCTGATGTCCAAAAATATTTTGAATTCGGAGACAGTCCTACTAAAGACTTGTTTATAGTGTCACGATCTACTTGAACCATCCTTTCTTCTCTAAGCATCTCATTCTCTCGATGAAGTGCTTCTCTAATCATCTCGTTCTCTTGATTAACTATTTCTCTTTGTCTCTCAACCGCCGCATCACGAGCCTCAGTAGCTGCTATTATTGCTGCCATAGCAGTAGCTTTTTCCTCATCTCTAGCCTTTTCCCATGCCATGTTCAGTTCACCTTGGCGAGCAAGTTCCTCCATATATTTAGTGTAGTCATTTTTGGAAGAACTACCTTTTTTCTTTGATGCCTTTTTACCTTGAGGCATGAGGGACTGATGAGTCGGTTAGGTCTCCGGCACTTCTTCAGGCATCCCTTCCGTGTCTTCAAATATGTTGGCTTCTTGTTCGACCGTGTCTACTTCTGGCGAATTGTGTAGACCCATACCGTGCATGACAACTTTTGGACCGGTTGCCACAATTTTGTGTCTAGGGCAATCTTTGACAATTTGCCAACATTCCCATTTGTTGAATGATTTGTTACGGTTCTTTGCATTGTAGAATGCTTGTGCTTGTAGTGTCTATAAAAATGTGGGATAATATAGTATTAAAAAATACGGGTGTAACACAAATAAATAAATTAAAATATTGATGGGCGTGGAATGCATATAAATTACATAAGAAATTACATAAAAATTACATAAGAAATTAAATAAATTAAAATATTGATGTGGGTGGAATGCATATAAATAAATAAAAATATTGTTACCTGATCCGCTAAACTTGTCCCACTACGTAGATTACCAGAAGCATGAGAGATGGCATTTTTCCAACAAGTAAAGGATGCGTTGAGTTTTTTCCAACGACCTTGAAGACCTTGACTAGATCTAGCATCTTTTCCATGTACATCGCAAAACGATTTCGTAATTTTACTCCACATTTCTCACTTATCCATCTCATTACTCGTAATCGGGTCATGAGTAGTGTGAACCCAACATTCACACAACGTAACATCTTCAATGAGCTTTCATGAAGTCATTTTTTTCTCTCAAAGTGTACAAAATATTCAAATGTAGAAAGTGTAGAAAGTGTAGAAAATATTGAAATGTGGTGTAAGGTGGAAGATGAGGGTTAGGTATTTATAGAAAAAAAATTAATTTTTTAAAATTTTTCTGTATTTTAAAAAAAAAAAAAAATTCACAATTTTTAATTAATTTTTAATAAATTTTAATGTTGTAATTAATTTGGACCGTTGGATTTGAAAAATAATCAAATCCAACAGCCAACCAGCTGCCACGTGGCCAACAGTCAAAATTCTGACCGTTGGGCCTTTTTTTTTTTTGGTGAAAAAAACGTGGACCGTTGATCTGTGATCAGACGGTCCATTTTAAAAGTCAAATTTAAAATTTTTTTACCGTTGGAAATCCAACGGCCTACAAAAACTAGCCGTTGGAAATCCAACGACTCTGAGGAGGGCCACGTAGCCCTCATCCGGGTAAACGCAAGTGGCCTGAGAAGTGGGCCCCACCGCCTGCAACCTTGTCTCTTACTCGCGCCCAGTCGCGAGTGTTGTGCATGCGCCAGCCAAATAGGCCGGCTTTTGGGTCTGTCCGAAATGAGATGGTCTGTTGCCTGGCTTGGGCTGGGTGTCAGGCAATATCTTCAATGAGCTTTCACGAAGTCATTTTTTTCTCTCAAAGTGTACAAAATATTCAAATGTAGAAAGTGTAGAAAGTGTAGAAAATATTGAAATGTGGTGTAAGGTGGAAGATGAGGGTTAGGTATTTATAGAAAAAAAAATTAATTTTTTAAAATTTTTCTGTATTTTTTAAAAAAATTTCACAATTTTTAATTAATTTTTAATAAATTTTAATGTTGTAATTAATTTGGACCGTTGGATTTGAAAAATAATCAAATCCAACAGCCAACCAGTTGCCACGTGGCCAACGGTCAAAATTCTGACCGTTGGGCCTTTTTTTTTTTTGGTGAAAAAAATGTGGACCGTTGATCTGTGATCAGACGGTCCATTTTAAAAGTCAAATTTAAATTTTTTTTACCGTTGGAAATCCAACGACTCTGAGGAGGGCCACGTAGCCCTCATCTGGGTAAACGCAAGTGGCCTGAGAAGCGGGCCCCGTCGCCTGCAACCTTGTCTCTTACTCGTGCCCAGTTGCGAGTGTTGTGCATGCGCCAGCCAAATAGGCCGGCTTTTGGGTCTGTCCGAAATGAGCTGGTCTGTTGCCTGGCTTGGGCTGGGTGCCAGGCTGTTTTGCGGGTTAGAGCACTTGGACAGGGTGCTGGGCAAGTCCACCTCCAGTGGAACTGCTCTAACAGGAACGGGAGCAAAGCTGGCTTTTATTAGTCTCACCTAACCTCTAATATGGGGGCCGAACAAAAAATGATAGAAAAGAGTGAATGTATTAGCCGAGTGCTATTTAGCCTTGAGATCAATATATTATGAACATCATAGTGAATGAAGCCTAGTTTTGAAGGGCAAACCACTTATATCTCTAAGTCCATTTAATTTCAGTCCATATCCTAAGCCTACTAAGGGTTATTTAATCTAGTTTGTTAACCTTACAGTTTTTAGCGTTAACAACTATCACATCCACAAACATACAAATACCACCAATAAAGATCTCTCGCAAAAACAATAGGCACCTACATTGGTCATCGTCGAAGAGTTAGACCACACAACAAACCTACACTGACGCCCACATTGGTCATCGCTAAGAGTGAGACCTCTTAATTTCATCATAGAGGAGTGAGATTGATATAGTAATCGTTGAAAGACAGTACTGCATAACTCATTGCTCAAAGGCCAATACCACATCCAACCATCATAAAAGCGAGACCACAAGGTGAGCTAATTCTTCCACTTACAAAAAACGTATCTTCACAATTGAAATTTATAATCAAAACCGTTTATTTTCTTTATTTTTTTGTTTGGTAAATTCTTGATCTTCATTTGAAGATAATCTTTACAAAAATCATTTGAATCAATGATTATTTAGTTATTCAAATGTATCAAATAAATGGACAGTTCATCGTTAATTTATTTGTTACATTTGAATTACCTAACAATCTCTTATTTGAATAATTTTTTTCGATATTCAAATGAAGACTAAGAAATTGAACAATTTCGCTAATGTTTATACAATAAACATACATAATTTGCAAACAAGAGAATAAGATCATCCTCCAAGCGGATTACATGTTTTGCAAAAACAGAGTTATACCAGGGAGAAAATATATGTCCTCGTCATTTCTAGTTTTATTTTCTCTCAATTTTGCCGCTTGCCCAAAGAGTGCCGGTCATAACTTTTAAAGCATGAATTTCACGGCGCTATTGTGTGTTGTATAATTTGCCATTCGAGAGTTGCCTAAAAAATAAAGTTCTAGAAATGTAACACGGATAGCACAAAATGAAGGGTTCATCGAGATAACAACATATCCTCATATCATCCCCAAGTAACACTACCCTGTTAGCCTCCTGCCCGACTCCGGCCACCCTAACTGCTCTGCCAGTAGCCCTTGCACTCAAGAATCGTGGTAGGGAGGCGGCGAACAATCAAGCCTCTATAATGTGGCAATTTACAACTCCGTCAGCTATACTGGAAATAACATGGAGTGGAACGGTCGAAAGCGATCCAACCAAAGAATATGGAGTAAAAAATATCTGGCTCAAATTGTTGTATAATTGGCAAAAAGGTGCAACAAGTCATTGAGAGTCTCTGGATGGAACTTCCTTGCAAATAAGTAACACGGTCGTTGTATACCATTCCATAAGCAAGGCCATCTCTGTACTACTTTCTGAAAAACAAAACAGAAAAGGTAAATTGTTAACAAGCTATCAAATTCAATAAGCACGTCTTAGAGATTTTTTAGATGGGTACCTTCGCATCACTGGTTACATGCACGCTCACATCAACTGACTGCAGAGCAAGACAACCAAAGTCACTATCAGAAAATTTGAACTATTTACATTCCAAACGGTGGTCTTTCTAACATTATCTATGTTGGAAACTGATGGTACAAAGAAAGCAACTACAACAGAAACGTGAAAGCCAAAAACAAGCGTCACCCTAAACCATTCCTTTTTCTTAGTTCTTTTTCGTTAGATGAGGACCAATAATTAACAGTCATAACATGAGGAGTACGGGATCAACTACTATGAAATCGGCAGTCAGTGTCAATATACATATGCCACATATATCTAAACTAGATAAACATACATACATGATGGCGCTGTCATCTGTAAATAATACACATGCATATATATATATATATATATATATATATATAAAGCTTATAGCAGAATTCTACCGTAATATTCTTCAGAAGCTCATATGTAATATCCTGAGATTTGTATAACTTGGGATGCCACTTTCTTTCAGACCAATCAACATGTGTTACCGACCAGTTTGCAATGCCACCAGGATCAATTATCTGGAAACATGTATAAAGAAAACTTCATTCAGGCAGAGATGCAAATACAAGGAAACACTAAAGAGAATTCTTAAGAGGCCTCACATTGAAAAAGGTTGGCAAGTAATGTTCATCAGCAATGCAATTGCGCCCGTCAAAACCTGGCTGTAATAACCAAGAAATCCCATATCAAGAAATTGAACCAGTGAACATAGAGTATCATAATTTTAAAGATTCCATAAACCTATTTGGGCCCATTAGGAATCCTGCTCAAAAAATTCATCCTTTCTAAAAATATTTCTTAAGACATATCTTAAGAGCAATTTTTATAAGACTAAAAAACTTGTTCGGTATAAAATTCAAAATTGTATTGTATTCACAATTAAAAAAGAAAAACAAAAGGAAGCATCAACTCATTGGAAAGCCGACAGAGGTAAAAGAGAGGATCTGGCGTGAGAGTAGAGAGAGGAGAGAGATAGAGGGGAGAGAGAGAAGACAGGATCTGGCTTTAAAGTAGTGAGAGAGAGAGAGAGAGAGAGAGAGAGAGAGAGAGAGAGAGAGAAAAGAGATCAGAAGAGAGGATAGAAGAGATCCGGAAAGAGATGAAAGAGAGAAGAGAACTGACAAGAGAGAAGAGAGAGAGAAAGAGATAAGATAGAGTGAAGCGAGATAGGATGCAGAGAGAGAGTGGAGTGTGTGTTAGTTTGAAAACTCTCAAAACTGACTTCTTGTGTTTTTAATATATAGGCTATTTTCCGGTTGGTTTTGAGTTCAATTTCTGAAAACAGTTCTGCCAAACAAGGATTCTTGGCTTGAAACTCATAAATTGTTTTTGTGTTAAAAAAATTGACTTCAAGTTCAATACCAAACAGGCCCTTAGATACTTGCATCTCAGCTGTATAGTGGGCCAAGCATGAGAAGAGGAAAGAAATCCAAATGTTGAAATCAAGCAGATGTTTTACATGAAGACAAAAAATTTCAGCATTGCTAGAGCTTAGATTATCAGAAACAACCAAATAAAGAGCGAACCGAAATCTATTACACCCATAATAGGAGAAAATAAGGATCAAAGTATCATATATGCAGATATGCTATAGCCTATACGTATATGATAACAAATTATAGGCAAAAATATCTACTATAAGAAAATTTAAGAAATAAAGAAGGTAGATATAAAAATGCTGAGAAGGAAAACTTGCCTTACAGTAGTCCCGGAATTTCGAGTAGTAGAGACTATCAGCCATTGCTATCACAGCATGCTGACGCTTCATAGAGAACCACTGCATATAATTCACAATATTAAGTGGTCATACATCTCTACTGTTTACATTTGTTGATATTGCCAACTAGTAATGCATTCATAAAACTAATAAACATGCCCTACAGTAAGCAAATATCAATTTGCACAGATTATAAAACTACATCGATAATCTCAACATGATCAAAATTACCTGTGCTCCCTTTCTAAAGTCTTTCTTCTCAATTTCAGGTAACATGTGTTCAGAATACCTCCCATTTCCATGCGGACCAGGATCCTCAAAGCTGAAAAGAATACACAAGTATACAGGTAATAAAAATAAATTTATCAATTAGGAATAAGTTGGCTCTTTAGTAATTTCAGAGGATTAAAAAATTAACAGTGCTGCTCTCCTAAGGTCCTCATTTTGAGGACCTTTGAGGACCAAATGCATATTAGCAACAAGATTATATTAGTATAGATCCAAAGGCTTAAAATATTTGATAACTTAATAAAACCAACTTAAACTCCATGAACCATTAGAAAACTCATTTTCTTGTTTTGGTTTATTAAGTTATCAAATATTTTAAGCCTTTGGATCTAAACTAATATGATATTGTGGTTAATATGAATTTGGTCCTCACAGGTCCTCAAAATGAGGACCTTAGGAGAGCAAAGCTCAAAAATTAAAACGTACTTGGGCAGCATTCATAACCGTCATTATTCATCAAATTGAAATCCAGTCGCACAATGAGCTACCAACACATTTAAACTAGAACAGTAGCTCGTAAAACAAGATTTTACTTACCAGTCAACATAGCTTATATTTGTATTCATCAGATAGTCATAGATATAGTCAAACGTGTACAATGGTACACAACTGCACAACATAAAGAATTAATGAGATATTGATAGCAGCAGAAATAACCAGAACTAGACAAATAGGATGACTAAAGGTACCTAAAATTTAATCACCTTTCTGAAAGTAAGACAAAATGCTGGTTATCAGGATCTTGAAGAGCATTTGCCAATAATCTTCTCTCTGCATCTACCATTGAAATTTTTCCCCATATCACCTGGAAACATGAATCAACAATCGATCTCATTAATCTCCTAGATCACTAGTTAAACATGAGTCAATAATAAATCACAGTCACTTCTGATATAATGATTGAGCATAACAACAAAAAATAGAAATATTAGAAATAGTAAAGATCCCGTATGCTGGGAAAAAAATTCTACTAAAATTACTATCTATTGCCTGTAAAAGTTTTAATCTTAAGGCAGATGTGGTTTAAGAAAATACATGTGAAGGATATGTGACATGTATAATCCTTATATTCTTCTACCTATCATTGTAACCTCATCAATGCAAGTATAAACCCTTGCATGACAAATAGTGAAAGATTCAATCTGTCTGTTAGTTTAAAATTGATCAAGATCAACATAGCTCATAATGAAGAAAAAATCAGTAAGTCTCTGCTATTTGAGTTAATATTAAAGATTATGCTGAGCTTCCTTGAGATTTATATGGATTAAATATGAAATATAAATTTGTAAAGCCATGTAATCCAAGCAGGTTTACCGGGTCACTGCGAATCTCTCGATTAGAAAAGTAACGGCTCAAATGAATTGCCTTTTCTTTAGAAGCATGGACATACACAGAGAACCTTCCTTCATGACCCTGCCAACAAAAAACAGAAGTGCTCAAGCTAAGCATACGAATCGATAACTACTTGAACAGGCTCTATCAACACTGAAATATTGAGTGAACATGATCAGAAATAATGTTCTATAAAAGGTTGAACATTTACAATCACATATTATTACAGGAAGGACCTAATTTAACATACACACGTGCCAACCAACTATAAATCAGAGTCATTAACATGAAAACAATCTCTTGAAAAGAGCACCAAAAGTAACAGTTAAAGAAGGTTCACTGTTAACCGGTAACCATAATATAATTCAGGCCTTAAAGACTGTTGTACGTGGACGGTCCAACGACTATCTTTGCTAACGATTATAGGGTTAATCATTTTCTACTCTTACACTTTCTTATTAGAAAGCACTATCTGACAAAGATCAGATAGCATCTGAATATGCTTAAACCAACTAAACAGGACAAAAGTTGAAAAGAAACCCAAAAAAAGAAACAAGAAACACAGAAGATCTCTTTCTTGGGCCAATAAATCAATAGGAGATGAAGCCTTACATGGAGAAACTTATCCCAGAGCTTCTCAAAAGGCAATGCACTTGGAGTAAGGAACATGAATGCAATTTTTGGATTCTTGGATTGAATAGGAGGTTGGCTTAAAATCTCTCTAATTACAACACGGGATGCGATCTCATCGTCGGTAAAATCCCTTGCAGGAGCAGGTGGAAGCCAGTCCGAAATAGCCTTACAACCTCTAGAAGAAAATATGTAACAAGCAGCGCTGCTTTGAGGCGGATAGAGGAAAGCACAAATCACAAAGATGCTGACCAAAGAAACCAAGACAATAATCCACACCGGCCTCTTCAAAGGCGGGCGATGGCGAGGCCCGGGCAAGATCTGCATGTCACCCACGCCTGGACGCCACTGATTCGTCTTCATCTAGAATAAATGCATCACAACTCGATCACATAAAGATTTCATTCCTGACTATTGTCCCTATCCACCATTGCACTGTCCGATTGGTGTGGAAATTTCTGCAATCCGAAAGTATAAAAGGATTAATTCGTAATTAGAAGGTTCTCTATGCAACGACAAATGGACTAATCGGAAGAACGAGCCAAAGCAACAAAACCCTAAAGTCACAATTCAAATCTCGGAAACAGTCAAACGCCTGAATATATGTATGCAGGATTTTCGGTATAAAAATCCAAGTAAATAAAAGTCAAACCTACCCACAGACTCCAATCTACCCCCGAAAATCAAAACCCCAACTCCAAGACGCAATCTCCATTCCCCTATTAGTCAACCCAGCAGCCCACAATCCCAGAATTTTCCGCCATTTTCTTGTTTCCCGTTTGGTTGCCGAGAAAATAAGCAAAATCAAAACGACCCAAATGAAAATTCAGAGTCTCAGTGTCTCACACTCGGAGAAGACGAAAGAGATACCTGATGCAATGAGCTGAAAGGAGTTTCAAATCGAGAATTGAAGATCTGGAATGGTGATTTTTCGTTGACTCTCTCAAGATCTAGGGCACGCAGCAGGAAGGAAGGAAGGCCTCCACACACTCTCTCCTCGCACAGAAGAGAGAGAGACAGAGACAGAGAGATGGAAAATGGGATTTTGAATGGGAAGAAGATGGATGTGTTGGATTGCTGTGATTCCTTGAAGGACGATTCTTTTGTTCTCAAAATTCTCTCTCCTCTCTTCTCTCTCCTTTCAGTCAATACAGTCGTTTGCCTTTCTTCCAAACACTAAAAAAGCCGGCGATCCGTGAGACATACGCTTAACAAGCCGCGTTGAACGGAATAAACATGCCGGCGATTTTTTATTATTATTATTTTGTATAATTTTGTGTGGACTGCTTCTACTCTTCTTCTCGCTCGTGGCGCGTGTTTCTTAGTACCAACCCCACCAAATCCCCTCTTCATTTAAAATTTTTTTTTTTTTTTTTTAACAAATGATATTATTTATAGTAAATTTAGCCTCACAACAGACTAACAATAATGTGGTTTAAATTCGTCTTTGGCGAGAATTGAACCAAAAACCTCTCACTTATTATTAGACGCTAATTCAAATTCTTTTCCGTATTAAAACAAGAATTATTAATTGATTTGCTCTCTAACATTGTTGTTTAGTCTCATTTTACTCCTTAAAACTTGTTTTGTCTCATTTTTCCACTTTAATCTGCCATCTTATTTATCTCAATTCACCTAATTTTTGTCAATTCCCCCAAATAGGCTTTGAATTAATGGGTAGTATGGACATTATCGGTCGACTTGAACTCAAGGACTGGATTCACTTAAACCTAATTTGTCTTCCTAACTTTTCTCGCCACAATTCACTTGCGTCTTGGTAAATATTGCGTGGTCGACTAAAATTCTCACCTAAGTGCCACGTGGTCAACCAAAATTCTCACCTAAGTGCCACGTCGTAAAAAATGGAGCTTATCTTTGTTTACATAAAAAATAAACTGTTCTAACTCCTCTTGTTTTAACGTATATTTGACAGAATTGACGAAAATGGGGTGACATGAGACTCAATGAGACAAAAAATGATAGCTGCAAGAGACAGAGTGGCCACTTAGTATTACGGTCTAGTATTATTCCTCTTCACTTGTAAGTAAGAGGTCTTAGGTTCAATTCTCACCAAGAGCGAATTTGAACCATATTATTGCTAGCACATTGTGAGGCTTAAGACCACCCTCTCCCCCTTAATATAAATACTATTGTTTGTTCAAATTTGTTCAAAAAAAAAACAAAACAAAACAAAAAAATAATAATAATAAAACAAAACAAAACAAAGACAAAACAAGTTTCATGTGGTAAAATGAGACTAACTAAATGGCAGTTTTAGAGGGCAAATCAATTAATAAGTATTAACACAATGCCCACATGAAGGAACATATTTTTCAATTCTAACCATGATTTCATTAGCACTATAGCATGTTGGTGTTATACTCTATTTGTAAGGTGAAGATCTTAAATTTGTCTCCATTTAATATCGCGATATAAAAGATAAATGCATGTGCCTTCAATGGTGATTGTGGCTGGCTATGTAAATTGTTTTTAGTATACCAGTGTTTATCATTCGGTACATATGGCACTCTATTAGCGGTGTACTTTAAAAAATCTGATTTCACAATAAAATCAATTTGTAATGGGGGTATAGTCCAATTTTTTATAAGCATATAGATTTCTCTTCACGTGTCGATTCATTTAAGCCTAACATGTGGAAGCATGTGTGTTATTGGGCTCAACATGTGGTTGAACTAGTTATGATGGCATGGAAGAAGTTGAGATTCTACCACAAGACTAAATGGCAATACGAGTTTAGTCTAATTTCTTATAGTCATTGCAATCCTTAGTTTCCCAATGTGAGATTCACACTCCATCATGCCAACTTGTCATTGGGTTGGGGGAGCAGCATGATCTACTTGGATACGTGGCCCATATGTTGTGTAAATAGGGTAAGTTTTTTGGAAAACTAAAAAAATGGTCACGTGATATTATTATTTCACTCAAATTATAAAATGTGGATTTACTTTTTTTAATATATCATAAAAGTGAGACATATCAACAATTTTGCTTACCATAAAATCCATTACTACTAGGGTGACAACTTGCGTTGAGTGAACCTGAATCCGCCTTTGTCCAAGCTGATTTCAAATCTGATCGGAAGGGTTATAATTAAGAAAAAAACCCGCCCAACCCCAACATGACCTCAACCCAATCATTTATTAGGTTGAGTTGGGTTGATGTCTTACCCGCCCACATTTATTAGGATCAAACCTAACCCGATTTTGAGACCGAATTCGCTCATGCACATATTACCCATCCAACTTCATATTATATAAGTCATGTATAAGTGTTGGAATGACAATACTTGAAGTCTATTCTCGGTTTTCATGTGGATAGTGAATGTTAGTGTTAGTTTTACATTTCTTTCGGTTGAAGTTTGGTATACGTCTTGTAATTTAGTTTCAACTTTGCATGGTTGTTTGTTTTAAATGTTGTGTAGATGATGATATGTAAATGAATTTTAACTAATATTGACGTTGTTTAGTTCAAAATTGGAAAAATAATGCAAAATAAGGTATTATAGATTGAACTCGATAAAGTTGGATGAATCCGAACTCAACTAAACTCGCATGAACCCGAACCCAACCCAAACTCAAATTGTAAAAGTTGAATTAGAGTTGGATTGACTATCCAACATGCCAAACCTGACCGAGTTGCATCCCTAATCACTACAGTACTTTGGTTCATAATTTAAGTTCGCATGAAAGTGCTTGATATATTTTTGTCAAAAAAATAAAGATATGTAAAGCCCAAAATCCACACAGACAAAGGCGAGCGCATTGAGGCAAAATTATTGAGTGGCTGGCCTGCTTGTGGCATGCATACGGCGTGCATCCAGTTTTAGCGTATCATCTGGGCTGGGCATTGACTGGTGATCGAAACCAATTTTATCGAAACCAACAGATGTCAATTCTATGATGATAACTTCTATTTAAGGAAAATCATTTTTAATGGCGGTTTGCCATCAACTATATTAATAAAATGGAGTTTTAACAAAAAGTCCACGGTACTGTTCACTTTAACGAAAAACCACATTTTTACACTAAAAAGTCAAACCTGGTACTATTCACTTTACCCTCTTTATCGTTAAAATTCAAAGTTTTTAAATCCTTTTCATTAGTTTTCCTTTAATAAAATCTAGTCATTTTCTCAATTTAAAATGTACATGGACTTACCGTGGGACTTTTTTTATTTTTTAGGAAAGTGTTATTGGCATTCCAAAAATTTCATTCTACACTCCTCACAAGTGTAATTTTCTTTCATAATATAGAAAGTTTGGAGTGTAGAATGAGATTTTTGGAGTGCTAATAACAATTCCTATTTTTAATTTATTTTTATTTAGTACAACGATATTTTTTACACTAAGTGAATGGGGATTTCGGCTAAAATCACATAACAGGCAACTTAATTTGGTATCAAATTTGTCATCTAGGAGATTAGAATCTAAGACCTCTTACTTACAAGTGAAGAAGAGGAATACTATCAGATTGTAGTACTGAGTGACGACTTACCCTTTGGACTCAGATGATGGTGGAAGATGCTTATTACTTTCGTATAGAAATTGAAGTGGCACAAGAGTGTTGTCTATTATGTTTACTCATATGTACTACTTTTTTTTTCTCACTTTAGAACTCAAATATAAAGAACAATTAATATGAGATGAACAAGAAATGATAACAAGGCACTCTGACAAGATTAAGAGCATTAAGTATGAACTAAGCTATCAAAAAAGTGTGTGTAAGAAATAAAAATGGTGTCCGGACAGTATTTTTAAAAAATATATCATAAAATGGGCTAAATATGTGTTTAATATTGTATTAATTTACTAACTTATTAGCGTTTGAGCATTTCTATATCTATATATAACATTTTCGTTGCTATTTATGTGAATCGAAACTGTCGATGCAAATTTCTGCCATCTCTAGCTTTGACAAAAATGCATGTGCAAAACAATCAACACTTTTGATCAATGACCTAAGTCTCATGCGCCCACAAGTTGGGGGGTTAGGCCAATGGATCTCCAATGCCTAAGTTAGTTTCTCTGAGAAGAGTAAGTGTTTAAGACTTTTTAGGGTTGTAAAAGCTTACCGAAATTTGGTAGAATAAGGGGTATATATAGGGGAGTGGCCGGCCATGGTGTTAGGGTTTTACCCTACACATGGTGGCATCCTATTGGTTAAGGTTTTACGGAGAAATATTCTCAAGATATTAAATAGGAAATAATATCTTGAGATAATGGAGTAATTATCCTTAATTGATTTAAATAGGGATTATTTACTTGAATTGAATCAATCTTCAATTCGGAGTGTATTAAAGATAGGATTTGGGTAATTAATCCTTATCTTTAATGCTTTGACTTTTCCTTGCCAAGGGCAAGTCAGCTGTGGGCAATTGTATTCAGCTATAGGGACCTTCAAGGGTCTGAGCTGCGGGTGGGAGTATCTGAGAAGCCTGCCCATTTAATGAGGGCAATCTTGTCTTTCTTAGGCAAAAGTTCACATGTCACCTCCAGAATATTTGGGATTATTTTAGGCTCCACAAATGCCCCCACATCTGTTGGGTTGTTCGTAGGAAAATGGTAGTAAGTGTAGAAATCTTAAGCTGCATAGGCTTGTAGTGTTGTTTACCAATTCGAACTAGATCTCCTTTCTTAATTTGGAGATGGACTTCTTCTAGAAAAAGGAAACCAATTGCCCCCAATACCTATTTAGTTATGCCTTAAGCAAGGGATTGAATAAATTTGTAGAACAATCATAATTCCAACAAGGAAGAGAGAAGCCAGAGGAAATTTGTTCCCCTTCCCCTAGCTTTCTTCTTTTCTGGCCGTTGCAAAAAGTCGTCTC